TAAATGCAAATGTTGCTAGTAATAAAAAAACAACAAGGAAAGGGAAATATGATAAATATAAGTTAGATAAGCAGAACTGTTTTCTAAACTGACATTTTAAAGTTGTACATGAGGTGTCAGCAGCTCTTTAATGACAACATGATCTAAGACAGATGCATATTTAAACAGAGCACATGGTGGCAAGCAGTTGGGAAAAGCCCAAGTTAGCTCTTTCTCTGAACAGAGCAGACAGCTGTGATCTTTGCAGTAGAACCTGTACCTGTTTCTTATAATAGATTGGTCCTTTTGCTATTATTTTTCACCTTTCCACCAACCTGTTTATCTACATTTTGCCCCTAATCAATCTTTATAATAAAATTAAAAAATAAAATAAAATAAATCAAAGTGTACACGTATCTCTAGTCTGTGTGGTCATTTAAATGTTTTGGAGAAAATACAAACATCTGCATCAGATAGGGCTGATTAGGGGATGGTAGCAGGTGTTGCAATTTTCCTTGGTCCCCCTATATAACTGGGGCTCCAAAAACATGTACAATAACTCCTCACTTAACGTTGTACTTATGTTCTTGAAAAATGCGACTTTAAGTGAAACAATGTTAAGCAAATCCAATTTCTCCATAAGAATGAATGTAAATGGGGGGAGGGGGGGTTAGGTTCCAGGGACATTTTTTTTTGCCATTCGGTACAGTACTATAGTTGAGAGGTGCCCCTGCCTTACCTCACGCAGGCACAACCCACTGGCACTGGAGACAATGAGGCAGGCAAGGAGGAGGCTGAAGGTGCTGTAGGCTAAGAGAAGCACGTTGCGCAGCAGCAGCGGCAGCTTCCCCTACTCAGCAAGCACCAGGGGCGGGGGGCTCAACCCTCGAACCTGCCCACTCCACCCCTTCCCCCAAGCCCCCACCCTTAACCCACCTCTTCTTCCCCCCTCCTCCTCTACTCCGCATGCCACGTCCTCGCTCCTCCCCCTTGCCCGCGGCAATCAGCTGGCTTGCTGCGTTCAGGAGACAGGAGGGAGGGGGGAGGAGCGAGGACATGGCGCGCAGGTTCCCCCTCCATCCCCTGCCTCCTAAACACTGCAAGCCAGCTGATTGCTGTGGGCAGGAGGCAGGGGAGGGAGGGGGGAGGAGCGAGGACGCGGCACACAGCCCTCCTGAAAGCAGCAAGCCAGCTGATTGCTGCAGGCAGGAGGTGGGTGATCTGCGGGGTCTGCCGGCGGGCGGGAGGTGCTGTGGAGGGGGGCGTAGGGGAGCTGATGGGGGGCTGCCAGCTGTGGACAAAGCAGGCAGCCAAATAACGTTCTAGCGAAGCTTTGCACAACTTTAAACGGAGCATGTTCTGTAATTGAGCAGGGACTAAGATCGAAACAACGTTAAGCGAGAGGACGTTAAGTGGGGAGTTACTGTACTAGCATTCTCAGGCCATCTCAGGAGCCCTATTTTCTATTTTAATCTTCCAAGTTATGTAGCACTGGAGATGTAAATATTGTTTAAAAAGTTAACCGGTTAAACGATTAAAATTATATTGTTTAACTGAGGCAGCCGGGGCTGGGGTCCCTCTGGCGGGTGAAAGGCCACCAGGGCTGGGGCTGCTCCGGCCGGCAAGCGGCGGGTTAATGGGTAAGGTCGGTTAACAGTAATCCTAATGCTTACCGGTTAGCCTAGGTAGCACAGATTCAGGCCCTCAACAGCTTGATTGTACACGTATTGTGAAAAACTGACTGGATGACTCAGCTGGCCTGGTTTTGGCTCAGATTACCTGGTCCAAAATCATCGAATCATAGGGTCATTTAATCTCCTCCCCTGCCAAGATGCAGGATTTGTTGTGTCTAACCATCAAGACAGATGGCTAGCCAGCCTCCTTTTGAAAACCTCCAGTGAAGGAGTTTCCACAACATCCCTAGACAATCTGTTGATGAGAAACAGAGGATTTGGGCTAAGCACAGCCTTGTTTTTTTGCGTACAACTTCAGCTGCAGGAAATGTGCAAACCCAAAGAAAGATTCAACTGCACTCATTTCACATATGAATCCTGGAATAAAATAAATTTGACTGAATACAGCCCTTTTCCCACTCCATCACTTGTGCCTGCATTACTGTTATTGGACTTGTTATTGGAGTCATGAAGACTCTTTGGTCTCGGTGATTTCAATATCTATGCTTTCAATTTGCACACTGGCAATAACTGTAGCATGCTGACTCTATATCTCATAGCATCATGGCAATCATAAGATTATCCCAGGTGGTTTATGGCTCAACTCATGCTGATGTTAAACTCTTTTCTTTGGGATGGATCTAGAAATGAGCGTTAAATATGTATTGTAATCATTTTCTGATCGACGTCTCCCCTAGGCTGAGAGTGAAAGCCTTACTTGACTCCTGTCAGCTTGATAGACCTTTTTCTATATTTCATCCTCGGAAACTGCTAGATCCAATGAGATGGCAGAATAGAAGGGGGACATATTGCTTTTCAGTGTTTGGGTCTCTCTTTGATGGAGTGGAACACTACAACTATCTATTGCTCAACATCAGTGAAGACACTTGGATACCACATACCCTCAAGTTAGTCGTACCAACGGCGGCGTCTTAGAATGCTTGGGACTGAAGAGAAGCGATTAATCTGATCAGTTGTGTCAGAGAATTTTGGCACTCCTACACTATGGCTGAAGTGGTGGTGAAAGCAGTGTTGTTCTCCTCAGCCACTGCATTTGCAAACACCTGACCAGTGGTGGTGTTCAGTGTTGTGAATGCCTGTGTAACTGAGACTGTGTTGAAGTTTAGTTCCTGGCTGTGGAGAACTGCCATCTTATGATGATGACAAGATTGAAGGGATTTGGAGCCATTCCCCGCATGCTCATCTCCCGGTTGGTTAACAAGTCAGAACTGCCAATATGAGTGAGCACAACTTCAGCAGCGTTATGCAGGCTTCAAATACCTGCTAACAGGGTCAACACAAGATCCCTGCTACCTTGTTACAAGGGGTAGTTGAGTGGTAGCTTTTGTGATGTGGACACATTTGTTGACTGAAACCATCAAGTGCATTTTAAAGAGTTCATTGTTCAGTTATCAGATGTTAACAATTTTTGGTCACTACTGACCTGGCCTGCATTTGAACTGGCAATCAAGAGTTGAGGTCTGTATCTCATTACCAATGCCCTGAGTCATTCAATCATTAAATATGAGAATGAGGCAAAAAACAGTCAAGTCATAGCTCATGATGCAGCTTGATGTAGTTTTTAGGTGTGTGATTTACTTTTGGGCTGGAAGATGGGGTTTGACTGCAGGCAAGGAAGATGTCACACTGCTAGTGGGAGTAAGCTCCTGGTTTTCCAACATCTGATTTTCGGAGCGGAATTTCCTACGGATTGGTTTGGATGGTGGCTGAGTAAGCAGAATCTCCTTTGGAGAAAAAAAACAAACAGATTCAGTTAGTCCTTAAATAAGTCAGCGTCTAAAGCCATGCTAAAATGTTGACGTGGCGAAAGAAAGGGCTATGATGTGTGAATGCTTTTGACACAGAAACTGCTGAAGTATGGCCTAAGCTTTGTGCTCTTTCAATTTTGACTAAACTCAGTAATAACCTGCTTTTTAGAAACTGCATTCTATCATTTTAATATTAATTTTCTATATTTGCAGGTTGGCTATTTTTGTTGGTGTGTCTTGCCCTCCCTCCCTTCAATTGTCTTGCATGCATTACTTCTGTTTTATCTTAATTTGGACTGTATGCTGTTCAGGGCAGGGACTGTCCATGCAAATGTGTGTACATGCGTCTATGTACAGGTAGCATACTGGGGCCAGAACTCCAACTGGGGCTTCTGGCCATTATCAGAATATAATAATTAAAAAATTATGCTCCGTGTAATATGAGGATTTTGCCTGCATACGCTGCCATCGTGATCAACACAGAACACCTTAAATTTCCCAGGAATGACCAATATTGATTGCCAGCTAAGGATTATAAAGCATCTACCGTTATATGGCCTCATCTCATCCCCATAGAATCTGAGTGCCTCACAAACATATCAATTTATCCTCATGACACCTCTGAGAGGTAAAGAACTACTACCAACCACACAGTACAGCTGGGATACAGTGTCTGAGAGAGACTGACTTACCCAAGGTCACACAGAAAAGCTGTGGCACAGCTAGGAATTGAACCCAGATCTCCTGTGTCCCAGGCAAATGCCTCAAACACAAGACAGGCTTCCTCTATCCTATGATGTCGGTCCCAGAAATACTTTCCCTTTTAGAGGCAGCTCAGAAACTGGCTTACAAAGACCTACATGTAAACCATCATTGCAGAATGAGTGCACGTGAGGCTAGGGATTTGTCATGGAGAAGTACATGAAAAGATGTGGTCAGGCTCAGGTAGAAAAGACATAATACATTAATTTTTAATAAACAATGCCAGAAGTGCGTTCATTATTTTAATTAAAATATCCTTGATTTTGCCCAAAACTTTAACAACACTGCAGTATCAGGCTGTTATAATAATAATATTGTTATTATGAAGCTTAGCTTTCATAGCACATATTTCATCTGTAGATCTCAAAGTGCTTTAACAAAGAGAAGCTTGTAGTATCATCATCTTCATTTCACCAGGCAAGAAGCTGAGGCACAAAATGGTAAAGTGACTTGCCAAAGGTTACATAGTAAATTAATGGCAGAGCCAGGACTAGAACCCATCTTTCATTATATGGTCTAGTGGTGTATTCACTGGACCAGGCTACCTTACTTTCTATGTCTTAGGAACCAATTAATACAATACAAATAAATTAAACAAAGTAATACACCGTTAAATGACCCAGGGAAGTGCCCAAAAGGCTGCAATATGTAATCTGAGTCAGCAGAGGGCTATTGTGGGTGTTTTGCAATAAAAAGTAATTTAAGGCCATGAATAGAGTTAGCGTTATGAGAGGGTAGAGTCTCTAACATTCCAAAATCCCACAGGGTTCCATGACTACTTTAAAAATATTTAAAAGAACCAACCAAAAAAACCCACAAAAAAACCAGGATCTGTTGCACACCACCCAACATGGAAAGCCACTTGTCTTAAATATGTAGAATACCACAGTCAAAATAATCACATGGCATTGTATAATTAATGTATTTGCTTACTGCTTATTAAAAAAATGTATACCCAGGCTGAGAGCGTTTACATCTACATACCAGATTTTCACAAGATATTTATGACTATACACTGTTTTGCTTGTTTTCACAATGGAGATGGATCCCTTAGTGTTTGTTAATGAAGTAAGTGAATGTGGTCCTCGGATAAGTTGCTGGTTTAATAGTGTTAGTGCCTGAGTCCCCCACTTACATAGAGAATGGCTGCAGTGTGAGTCATTGCAATGGAAGCTCCCCCACCCTGTCTCATTAGCATGCCCAAATCTAGAAAGGGTAGGATCACCACTTGGGGCAGAGGATAGTTCAGCCTCGATGCGTATTCAGTCCTGGGCCTCCTATGTGGCTGCCAATAGTGATGTTGGTTTTATGAATGTGGACACCAGGCTGCTAGAATCTGAAATGAGACCAAGAGCTCATTTCCAGGACCTCACTGAACAGCCATCAAATGGTAATATCTGTCAGTATTGCTGGCATGAGCTGGATTTCCACCACTAACCTTTAGAAGAAAGGCCCAGAATCTCATTTCCAAAACTCAGTCCTCTGGTTCCCCTTTGATTTTTTTAAATAATTGAATAGTATCTATTTTTGCCATTTAATTGAACAGGGTAGCAGAAGAGTGTAACTATTATATGGTTATAGATCTGGAGTTAGATTGCGCTTTGGGGCCTCACACTTGGCAGGGTTGAATAGCTCTCTCTCAAAATGTCACGTGAGATGACTAGGGAACCTGTGTGTGATTTCTACATGCTTGAATGAGTGAGAGCTGGGGAAATGCAAAATACACAATCTCTGTTAGTATGGCAAAAAACAGCCAAACCTGGATGCCCAAAAGCCCCATTTTCATGAGTGCTATTTGAGGGGCTGGTACATTCCTAAAGCCAGACAAACAGAAAACACAGAGAACCTTACTTGGCAGGATGATAGGGAAGTCAGTCCTTTTGAGAACAAAAGAAATTTGAGTTGCACAAACTGATCTGAAAGCAGTTCTACTATCCTGTAGTTTGTTTTGGGCTGAGACAATACCACCAGTGCTAACTGAATTTGGAAACTAGCCTATAAGAAGTTCATTGGTTAAAGACAGACACATTGAGCCTGCCAGAAGGTGCCAGGCAGATAAGTTGTGAGTATCTGGTTAAAAACACACCTGGATAAGACACTGATGACAAAGCTAGCTTTTAAGGTGCGAGTTAGATGGACTTTTCAGCTATGTCCTAGGCAACATCCCATAATTGTAATTAAGCTTCTCACCCTCCTAGTGACTGGGGGAAGAGTCTCAGGGATCTCTCTAACTACTGGTTCTCTCTATTGTGTTTTTCTAATAAATTTGCTTTCACTTAAAAACTACCTGCATGTAGTTTGGAGAAACTGTTGTGCTCGTTTGGAGAGATGAGCACTGCTGGTTGTTCTAGGAGGAAGGAAGCTGTCTTCTGAGCAGCAGTCACTGGCGCCTAGTGCAAGAGGTACATTTGTTGGTGCTAGAGTCCCCACTCAGTACATTCGTCCCTTCCTCAATAAAAAAGCAACACCCAAAAGGAGTTCAAAGGAAGAGTGAGTGAGTGAGTGAGTGAGTGAGTGAGTGAGTGAGTGTAGAGGCTGTGGGGGAACCTGAGTGAAGCATCAGGAAGATGCACATGGGAGAGGGTCCAACCCATAAAAAAATTGGAGAATGAGGAAGAAAATTGAAGAGATTAATTCCCTGGTAAATTCTGGAAGAGCAGCTGCAAGTTCCTGCATTTTAGGAGATGATGGCATTTCAAAACAAGCGTTTTATCTCTAGACGTCAGCTTTTTTATATGGAATGCTCTGCTATAAAAAACTTCCTAATGACAAGTTAAGTTCTATTGATAAAATAGTTCCTGAAACGGACAAGTAAATGCTCCATAACCACTGGGCCCTCCTGAAACTTACAGTTCCCAGAGGCTCACTTTGCCCTGCTGCCCCCCTACTCCCATCCAAAACTCTCCCCATCTGTGTCCCGCTGCCCCCATATCACTAAGCTGTCCCTTGCGGGGGGGTGGGGGTGAAAGGAAGGAGGGCTGAAGTTCTGCAGAACAACTCTGATAGATACTCCTGCCTCCTCTTTCATTGTACTGAGGAGGAGGATCTTCAGGCCACTGCTGCAGATCTCCTGCAGGCCTGTGCCCTGGGGATACACTCCAGGAAGTTGGGGTGGGTGGGGCTAGTGGCTATTTAAGGCTGCCAGTTTCAGGAGCCCAGCTACATGTGGTCAGCTCTATAGTGGGCTGGGTTGGCTGTAGCTATGTGCTCTCTGGCTTCTTCTCTGCAAAGCTGCCTCTGGTGGCTAGAGGTCATATGGGTGACTGAACATCAGGAGCAGCTGCAGCATCTGGCACAGGAGCTACCAGCCAAATAAACAGGTCATGGTGCTCATTTGGGGAAGAAACATCACTGGGCAGGGAGAGGCAGGGAGTACAGAAGGAAAGCAGAAGAAAGCCCACTTTACCATCTGTGGGGGTGTTTTAACAGCTCCCTCTCCCACCAGACATCACCCAAACTCTCCCGACTCTCCTACAGGCCACCTAGACTCTCACCTCCACCCATGCATCATGCAGCTCCGTCCCTTTCAAGAACACCCCTCTGTGGCAGCATCTGGTACCACACTTTGCCGTACACATCAGCACTAAATAGACACTACGTAATGTCTGTGCTACATTAGTACTGGTGGAGTATTACTGGAGATCTTAGGCCTCTAACTCCTAATTAACAACTGCCCCTGCTACTGATCTTAGATGGAAAGGACTGAGGTGGCAGCCAGAGTGATGGCTCAAAAGCAAAGGGACAAAGGGGTGTGACCCTAAAAGGCACTAGGAGGAAAATGACATAACCCAGTCTTTTGGAGTCACTCCTTCTCTTGGTTCGCAATAGCCGGAATGTGTTGACCTTCCCGGCACGGTGCAAAGCCCAACTTTTCAGGAGGGCTACCAAAGAAGCAACTGTTGTTAGGGGAAAACATACAGGGGAAGAGGAAGTTGGGGGCTTGTTTGTTTTTGTGGTGCCTGATTATTTAGTACACATTAGGGGGTGTTTCCTATTCCCAGCATTTGTCAGAAGCACCTAGAGCATTCAGAGAGGTGCCTCTTGTTGTTTCATAAATCTAAAGAAATAAATAAGCCAATGTGGGCACAGGGAAACTTTAAAGAGCATGGGTGAAATCATGGCCCCACTGAATTCAATGGCAAAACTCCTAAAGATGTCAATGGGGCCAGGTTTCACCCCTGGAAAATGCAAGGCTGTAGTTACAGCATATCTATTTTATATGCCTGCAAGCATATAAAACCTGTAATTCATGTTTTAAACAAAGTCCTGCAATTCTATGCATATTATATAAGAGATCCTGAGCTCTAATAAACTGGTGTACTTATGCTGGATCCTTAGTGTCAGATTTTTAAAATGTTTCATGTTAGAAGGGCTGGAAGGAAATGAGGACCAGACACCATTGATCTCTTCTCCCCAATTCTTTAAGGGCCCGTGTGTTTATACTGTAAACAAATGGCAAGTTGTTTTTCTTAATGCACATGTACTGACATGTGGATTGAAAGCTTTCTTAATGATTTATCTGAGCTGATGGTGGATGTCACATGAGTCCAGTTCCCCCTGGTGACCTGACCTACAGAAAAAGTAAACATGTAAAAATGTAACCCTAAACCTCAGTTTAATTGCTTTAAAACTTAAAACAACTAAGGTCAGTTGATGAAGCCAAAAAGATAAAGGCAGATCATTCAACAACGGCATTAAACATATTGGCCTTACCTTTCTCGTTGGGCTGCTTTCTTCTGTCTGTGATGGAGCTCTATTCATCTGAGGATGTAATTCCATCTCAGATACTTGTTCTGTCTGTAACAACAAATCAGTCACCGCTACACCCAGAAAATGACTAGCAGTCATGTACAATAAAGACAATGAAAGCAAACACTAGACACAAAAGGAAAGTTACTTTAGCAATTTAACTCCGAGGGGGAAAGTTATGGTGACAGCTAAGTGAATGACACACGTCTTTTGTATATTTTTAATTAAACCATTTCCCCCCTTTATTGTGATAAGAAAACAAGAGAAAACTTTTTGTGAAAAGCTAAAAACGGCAACGTCTCTGAACATAAATGGCCTGCTACCCAGGAGTCTTTTCTAGGGTTTGGTTCCTACAGTATAGCACATAGAGCTCTTCCATTGTGAGAAAAGAAAAACCACAGCAACAACTACGAAGGTCAGGGGTGCAAACTGTCACTGGATCCTGAAGACTCCAGTTGAAAAACGGAACAAATAGGAATATGAACATATATTGAGATCAAATGATATTCAGTGGGAGGGAGGGGTTTACAGGGGAGCCTCTGACTGTGGGTGCTAAGGCCTAGAACAAGAAAATGGGAACTACCGCAAAAACTGTGATGATGTCACTTTATATACAAGATATAGAAAGAGACAAATCTACCTCCTTCCTGTCCTAATCCAGCTCCAAATAGAAAATAATTGCAACAGTCAAAACATTTCCAAGGAAAAGTCCTTAAATGTATCAGGTAGGCTGAAAATTAAAACAGGGGGTTACTGCACTACAGCACGTTCACTTCTCCAAAATGGTTTATTTCTGTGCGGCTACATTTAAAGGGTTAAGTCCCGGCTCCACAGGCATCAATGGCAAAACTCCCATTAACTTTAGTGGGGCCTGGATTTCACCTAAAGACTCTTACCAATAATTTATCAAGCACGGAATAACCTATTCTGTTATTGCTGACAGACTCTTGCTGAGAGACTTTGGAAGCAATGACAGTCTCTACATTATCACGATCTAGAGCAGTCAAAGTTACTTCAATGCCTCTGATTCAGTGCAAACCATAAATCAAACCATGTCAGAATTAGATATAGATTATAACATATTTAAAGAGGGGCTTTATCATACCACTTCCACTCCCTTCACAACAGAAGCATGGAAGCTGGTGAGGAGAGGAAGCTCTGTCGTGTTTGCTAGTGCTCTACAACTGAAAGGGGCAGAACTAATGCTAGGAGAGGGATTTGTGATCTTCCTTTAAATGCATATGTAATTCCTCAAGACAGAAGGGAAAATAAAATGCGATGGCTGACAAGATTTCCCTTTTCCTCCTTCAAGTATGGTACATTTGAACTGCAAACCAATGCTAAAAAGAATTTGCCAATGTGTACTAACATTTTGATTCTGAAAACCTTCCAGGTATTGCTAGGCTGAGATAATAACTGAAGGCTCCTGACATACAGAGGAATGAAAGAGGGGAAAGGGCACACTCTGCTGAATCACTGAAATCAAGGATTTAATTTTTTCTTAATAAAACATGTTTCTCTGTTATCCAGTGAAACAAACAATAGATTCCCTACTTTCCAGAACCATTTCTTGTGTAACTGAAAGAAATTCAGGACCAAAACACAGGCTTCAGTGGCTTGGCAACAGCATATCAGGCAGGCACTCCAGGCATATAAATTCTAATGAATGATCTTGGGACAGCAGAGCTCAAATGCATCACGGAGGCAATGAAAATCTCCGCCCTCACCCACATTCCTTTGATAAAGGGTTGATTCACAGAGAAAAACCAATGATGATGGCCCCAGAGGAAGCCATGTGGTATGTCCTCCTGCTCAGAAGAAATGTACGGAAGGGGACCACATGTAACTGAGTGAGAAAGGAAGCAGGAAAAAATCAAGTAAAAGATTTTAGGAGGATAGTTTGAGATGGAAGGAAGAGATAACCAGAGAAGCACCATTTGGTTCTGACTACTGATTAGATTTTGGTAGGTGCAAAAAGGATCATACTTCAGTTGCAAAGCTACAGCGCTTTACTCCCCTCATCCCCCCCGCCACCGACTGCCTACACACACACACACACACACACAGGTTGGGATTTGCAAAAGTGCTCAGCTCCCATTGAAGTCAATGGTAAAACTCTCACTAAAGTTAATGGGAGCAGAGCTAGGCTGCCTTTGACCATCCCAGCCAACAACTAAACTGATCCAAACAGAAAGGCCTCACAGCAGAACAATGTTACTTAAAATAATATTTGTAAAAGGAAAGAAAAAAGTACAAGTTTTGGACACTATCAGATGCAAATATTGAACCAAGTGTTGATGCCAATGCTAAAGGAAAAGATTTCAGAATTTCCTGCCAATCTGATGAGACAGCATTTTTTATGTTTATTGGCTATTTGAGTGCTGTGGGCATGGGCCACCCATTAGAATAACAGCTTCAGTGATTGCAGGGCTACATTTCTATTGTACTATTTGCTGCTGTCAAAAGCCATTGGTGTTGGTACCGCCCTGCCTATTCATTTGTGATCATGAGGATCATACCCCAGTGTGGAATGCGGATCTCACAATACAATTGGGTACGGCTAACTAGAGAGGTCAGATGGTTAAATACATACACAGATTTTATAAAAGAAAGGAATCAGTTCTGGTACAGGAGCTGATGTAAAATGAATACAACCACTGGTTGTCGTGTCCTTAAAGTGCCACCTAGTGGTATTTAGAACAGGTCATTACTGTGTTTCTCAGAACACAGTCCGCACAAGAGATGCATGCGTATTCATCAGCTTGGGACTGATCTAATGGTTCTGAATTCATTCACAAGCAGGGGTGAAAGTAAGGCACTACAGGCCGGAACGGCATACCGGTAAAAAGTGGTTGCCTGTACCAGCCCATACCGCTGACTTTAAAGCAACCCTGCCAGGTACCTACTGTCAGTGCCGCCGATGGGGGGGGGGGGGGGGGGAAGGGAGGTCACAAAAGGGGCAGCAACATTAAAGTGCTGCCGCAGCAGCGCTTTAACATCCCTGCCCCTTTTGCCCCCCCGAGGCCGCCGACAGGGGTGGGGGTGGGGGAAAAGGAGCAGCTACCAAGGGGCTGGCGATTTAAAAGGGCCTGAGGCTCCGGCCACTGCGGGTAGCTGTAGTGGCCGGAGCCCTGGGCCCTTTAAATTGCTGCTGGAGCCCCAGGGGGTGTGGGTGGGCTGGCTGGGGGACACTGACCCCCCCAGCCTTGCCCCTTCCGGAGAAGAGAGAAATTTTACTTTCACCCGGGTTCACAAGGCAGGCGGACAACAGGCTACACTGGAGACAGCGTGTATGAACTCTTCTGAACTTTCCATTTCCTCTTATAAAAAGGAAGCCTGGTCTATACCTAAAAGTTTTCCTAACATAGCTACGTTAGGTGTATGAAAAAAAATCGTCCCCCTAACCAACATAGCTATGCCAGCAAAAGCCCTAGGATAGAAGCAGTTATACCAGTAATAAAGTCTTTTTACCAGTATCACTTATTTTGTTCGGGGAACTGGTATAAGATATAGCAGCAAAAGCATTTCCCCTCACTGATCCCACTCAGATTTTAAAGGAATAGTCATACAGACAACGGGTGTGTTACTTTTTCATGAGCTGCCTCTGTTGGGGATTTCCCCTTTGAGGAAGATCCAGAGAAGAGTTAACAGTCAGGAGGGCCTGGGCAATACGAGAGACATAGTAGACCTGAGGGGATTCATGGGATTTTGGAGCCAGACCTCTTTCCTCATGGAGGTAGCAATCTCTCTCTCCCCAGTAAAAAAATGCAGAGGATACTCCGCAAGAAGCAGCTACAGGTATTCATCTACATGGGAATGATCTGGTCTAAAGTTATTTCAGAAACAGTGTGGCATTTACAATGACAGCTTTTTTCTTTTGGCAGGGGATTTCCCCCACATTCATTTCACTGCCTTCACCTTTGGGCCCTACATACCAGCACCTGTCTCTCTTGCTGTGGGCTGAGTGCAAGTTGCTCCAGAATATGTCACAATGCCACTCTGAGCAGCTGCTGTGGAACACGGGGAGAAGGTGATCACTGACGAGCAATGTGAGGTGTGCTCCCTCTATTCTATTCCATTCTAGCTCTTTTACCATGCTCATCAGTGAATACCTGGGCACCCCTCCTTCATTCGGGAGCTGAGCAACATGTTCCTTGCTTCCCATGTGATTTTACAACTCTATGGTATGAGGAATTCTTCCTTGGTGCTAAAGACTTCAGTCTTCTACTGTAGAGTCTGAAAGTCTTCAGCATGTAAGCACCACTTTACAACTTAAATGCAAGGCCTTGTCTACACATGAAAGTAGCACCACTTTAACTACATTGGTGTAATTAAAGCACTGCAATCTACTGAGTGCGGATGCAGTCAGATGGATATATAAGCTATACTTGTATAAGGCATCTTTATACTGTTATAACCGCATCCACACAAGGGGTTGTACCAGTATAACTATTTTGGTTTAAAAAAAAAAAAAATCACATCCCTAACTGACACAGTTATAGTGGTACAAAACCTGTGTGTATACCAGACCTAAGACTGTTTTGGGAAAGAGTAATAAAGGACTAAACAAAAGACTAACATTAACATACTCTTCTATTTCAAAATTCTTCAAAAGCCTTACTGCTCACCCAGACCAATGTACAGCAGTTCATATTCCAAAAAGATATTCCTCCTATGTTCCTCAGCTGCACATCATATTCATATTTTCTGAGGATCCTCTTACCCTCCAAACAGGGGTTACAAGGGCATGGCTACACTTGCGAGTTAGAGCGCATTGAAGCAGCCCAGTGCGCTCTAACTCACGACCCATCCACACTGGCAAGGCATGTAGAGTGCTCTGAGTCCGCAGCTAGAGCGCTCCTGGTACTCCACCTCGGCGAATGGAATAACGTTTGATGCGCCCCCACTGGAGAACTGTGGCACCAGTGTGGACGCCCTGGTCGGTTAATGCGCTCTGATCGGCCTCCAGAAGTGTCCCACAATGCCTGTTCTAGCCACTCTGGAGCAATGACGAGGTGCTGGACCTAATCAGTGTTTGGGAGGAGGAA